CTGAGATGTTCGGAAACCGATGATCTAAGTGGGTCAGGCCTGTGGCCTCCGGGAGGGGATCTGGTGCCGCTCACCCAGCCCGGCCTCCCTCCGGGGCCCAGGGCGCCTCATCTCTAGCTGCCCAGGTCGCGGGTGGGACTCCTGAGTCTGCCCCGGCCCCTGCCCGCCGCGCCCCCTCAGCCAGCTCCCCGCTCCGAGCCGCTTGTCTGCGGGCAGTGCTGGACACGTGGTCACGGACCGGGCGCAGCGAGCCCCCCGGTCTGCCTGTCGGTTGTCTCAAAATTGGAAACAAAAGCACTTCCTTTATTAAAACAGCGCAGATGTTTTTTTCCTGGTTCACCGACTCGTGTGCCGAGTTAACGGGCCCGGAGTCGTTTGCAGGATGTGCTCAGTATCAAAGGCAAATGCGTTTTTTGCTTGTTGCATGTTGGAGTTGCTGGTACTGCCCTTTATTTTTTGAGGCATTTCTAGATTTCTGTTTGCCTTGTCCAAAAACATCAACGTTTCCCGGTGTTTTACTGTAGCACTCTCTCAGTCATACCGCCTGCCCCCCTTTCCCGAGACCCTGACCTTCTGCTCCGCTCCAGGCCCAAGCTGCCCTCCCTCCTGGGCCGCTGCTGCCTCTTCTTTCTCCTGCGCAGGCCCCTGAGGGACTGTGACAGCCCTGTGTGCGGCGGGCTGGCTCCCCAAGGCCCGGGGTGTCTGTAGGTGTCTTCTCGTGGTCCTTACTCTCCACGCACGGTCGGATGTGGGGTTCTGCTTCCCACTTCCCCGAGGGACTCCGCTGTCTTACGTGTCCTGGTTTCCTGTTGGGAGAGGGTCTGTTGCCAGCTCAGGTCTTTGTGACCTGTAGGTGACCTGTTGCTTTCCTTTCTGGAAGCTTTTAGGATCTTCTTTTTCTTTTCTCACATTCAAACTTGATGAAGGTATATTTAGGTGGAAATCTTTTTTATATACCTGGCTCAGTTTTCAGTGTTCTCTGTCTTCATCAGCGATCTCTGTATCTTCAACAGACTGTTTCTTTTTTTTTTTTTTTTAAAGACTTTATCTATTTGACAGAGAGACACAGCGAGAGAGGGAACACAAGCAGGGGGAGTGGGAGAGGGAGAAGCAGGCTCCCCGCCGAGCAGGGAGCCCGATGCGGGGCTCGATCCCAGGACCCCGGAACCATGACCTGAGCCGAAGGCAGACGCTTCACGACTGAGCCGCCCAGGCGCCCCTCCACAGACTGTTTCAACAGCACGTGTTCCTCATGATGTAGAAGGAAAATGCAGTGTCCCAGCACTGCTCAAACATTACCCCCCACCCCAGGGCGTCATTTAAATGTTGAGTAACAGGGACCTGACATGTGACATGCTTCATAGCCCTAGATGTTCTTAGTGGGTTATCAGAGAGGTGTTTAAGGGCATTTTGCTTATGTTTTCTTATTTAAAGTAATAACAGGTTAACTCTGTTATCTGAACATCCTCAATCCCAGTGTTTTCAGGAGTGGAGTCGAGTCAGGTACCCAGGGAAGCCCCTGGGGTCTCTAGAAATTTGAAGAGAGATCGCAGTCGTGGCCAAGGGGGTGGGGGAGGGGAGGTGCTCTGAAGGAGGGCAAGTCAGAAAAGAAGAGCTGCCAGAAACTAACGGTAACGCTCTCACAATAAAAATTTAACCCAAAGGCTACAGCATAAATCTGAGAACGTCCCAGGAAGTTTTGGAAAAGATAAAGACAACATGAACATGAACGCATGAGAAAAACAGCAGAAACCAATCCAGGAGGTCCAAGCGGGACGAGATCACGGAGGAGGGAACAGAGTCGAGAGAAACAACTGGGGGAACCCTCGCCACCGCAGGAGGAGAAGCAGGCGGCGCTGAGTGCTGTGGGCACAGTGTCGCCGCTGAGGGGGCCCGGCGCAGGGGGAGGTGGGAGGGGGCCTTCTGGAGGACTCCGGGCCAGCTCTGCAGCAGGTCCTCGGACACGCACCTGCAGGGGGAGAGGGCTGTTTCCCTGGCATTTCGAATACAATTCTTTCCAGTCTTTGGCAGATATTTGGAGTGTGAATTCAGCTAGTGGGGATATCTGTAAGCAAATGAAAATGAAAAAAGTGAAACGAGCGCTTTGATTGTTTTCCTCCAGGACGGGTGGTTTTTCCCCCCGGTCTCTTTCCCACCCCTTGTTTGTCGCCCTGTCTGGGGCCGCTTGGTCACTTGCGACAGTGAAGAAGGCAGGGCCCGTTGTGCTGCTGTGGCTGCGTATGCGCGGCTCCCCCTTCAGGGCCGCCCCCGGGCAGGGGGGCGCTGTGGCCGATGAGCCAGTGGGGCCCCAGGGGATCCCCGATGCCAGCACCCCGGGCAGGCATGTGTCCTCAGGGAAGCCCTCCGGGTCCCCGGGGGCTGGAGAGCGCAGAGGAGTGTGGCCGGCTGCCGTCCTCCCTGCCCTGCGGCGGGCTCCTGCCATCCACGTGGTGACGTGCCCCCCCCCCCCCCCCCCACGGTGACCACTGCCTGCTCCCGGTCCTCCAGGAAGGGAAAGGGCCACATCTGTGCGTCGAGGTTTCCTGACGGTTGTACGAGTCCCAGAGCCATGTCTCTGGGCGGCGGTGGCTGCTTCCGGAGGGGGTCACTTTGAAAGTGTTTAGCGTGGGAGAAAAGCCGTAGACAGTTCCTGAACTAGAGATCCTCTGCAAACACTCCTTTCAGCTGAATTTTAACATTTTCGTATTCCTTCTTTTTGTTGTTGAAACAGATGATGCTGGAGGGTCTTGAAATCTTTAAAACCAATAAAATCTGCAACTTGAAAACCAGCCTTCTGTAACCACAGTGCCATAACCCAAACGATGAGGAATGTTCGGAGAACTCTGCGGGGGAACTCTCCCGCTGACCCCTCCCGCACCCTGAAGAGCCGTGGGGCTGTGCGGCCTCGGGGGCTGCGTGCAAGTCCCGCCGTGGGGTGTGACTGCTCGGGCGGTGAGGCGCACCCGTCAGGGGGCCGCTGTGCGGCCGGTGGCCAGCTACCTCAGGGACCACGGCGGCGGGAAGGGGTCCCGGGCTCCGGGCTCCCGCGCCACACGCCCCCTTTGTCCGGGTGGTTTTTCTAATAAGAAGGGGAGGGTGAGGACTGTCCAAGCAACAGTAGTTGCCAAAGAGGGAAAAAAACAAAACAAAACAAAACTAGACACTTAAATTTTATAATTTTTATGTGGAAACGTCTGTTACCGTGGAGAAAAACTTAGAAGCGTCTGTTGCATTGTTGAATAATAGTAAAGCGTGAGCCGGTGCTCGTTGGAGGCACTGCATCTGCTGCTGAGAATGGGATGTTTTGAAAAAGACCAGCTCAGCGGCCTTCTTTGGAATCACCTAATTTTAGTGACTTTAGCTCCCGGAACGGCAGGCCTGACCTCGGCGGAGGGGCCCCGGACGGCAGCTCGGTGCCGGCCGAGTCCGCACACTGGCGAACAGCTGAGAAACGACAAGTTGGAGCACAAGCCCAAGATTGCAGCTTTTAGTTAGAGTGTAAATTCCGTTTTCCGAGTTTTTATTCTGTGGGGTAAGGTCCAACCTTTCCGTTCGTGTCTTAAAAGTCTCTTCCTCCGGCCTCCTTGGGGTTCGCACGCCGTGAGGCAGGCAGAGCCTCTAGAGGGCCTGCGGCCTGGGAGCGCTCAGGGTCAGCCAGGGGCAGAAAGCCGCACGCCGGGAGCTGCTCCGACTGTGACCCTGGCGGGGACCCTGCTCACTTTCCCTTTCAGAGGCTGCTATTTTTGATGTGGTTTCTTGCCAAATCCCATGACACTCCCCATCAAAGGCGCTGGAGCTCCCCCAGGTAGAAAGTTAAGAACAGAAAACACAAGGTTGGGATGTGTTGTGAATGAGAGAGAAGCCAGAGATCCGCTTAAGACTTTTTTTCTTTTTGAAGCATGAAAAATCTTATGTTACTCTGGTCATAAATAAAATTTTAACTGCAACTTTGTGTGCTCAACTTTAGTTCTGACAGGGCTTGATGTGATGTAGTTAATGAGAACGTTTATCCTGAGTTATCAGTTGGGAAGTCAAATGACTACTTGAATGTGTTTAAATTTTTTAAAAAAAGCAAATATTTAAGTTGTTGGTTTTTTAAAGACACGTTTACAAAGTGCAATCAGGGATGAATGAATCTGAAAGTTGGTTAGACACAGGGTAGACAAGCATGGAAAATGATGTGGAAGAGAGGATATGAGACTGGAAAAGTGGAACCAGCTCAGGATGAGCATCGAGTGCCTCCTTGCCCTCACGAACGGGGAGATCTGCGGTCAGTTCTGCTAATGCTTGTATTAAAATGCAAACGTCTTTCAACAGGATTGATCTGTCAGACAATTTGAGCATCACTCATTTGCTTGGGGGTGATTTTGTCGGTGAGAAGCACTGGCTCGGGGCGGGGGGCGGGTGATGAAGGCCCTTTGGTAGCAGCGCCCCATCCGCACCCCCCCATCGTCCCGCGGTTGGCAGGAATGGGGGTGCGTGGTGCTCTCACAAAACGGACCGTACTTTGTGGGATCACTGGGAGTGAGAACAGCCCAGGCAGTGATAAGGGACTGCTCTGAGCTCATGGGGCCCGACAGGGACATTTCAACGTGAAGTTGATGTTTTCCGAGGCAGAGGAAGTCTGTGATTTAGAGGGTATTGCCGATGGTTTCTTAAAAAAAGGAGCAGAGGACGGATCGAGTGGCTTCTGCTTGCCCTGTGCAGCTGCTAGAGCTTGGCGGGGTGAGGGCAGGAAGCATGTGTGTGGCTGTGGTCTACTTGCTGGGCACGGGGTGCCCTGAGTCTGCGTGAAGCGGTGAGTGGTGAGCAGCGCTCACAAGTGATGGTTCTTTCTTCAGGCCTCCCCCCGCCCCCCCCACACCCCCCGTCCACAGGTGGGCCCAGTCTTCAGTGAAGACCACCAGCACCTCAGAATTCTGTTTTATTTCATGTTGTGTTGCTTTCTTTTTATGTTTATGTGTTTACAAACCCTTGTGTGGAGGGGTGGCTTTCAGTAGATCACAGTGAGGGAGCTACTCTGCTAGGTACGAAATTTTAGTCCATCTTGAAATGGAAATGAAGTATTATTGCAAATGTGGCAACTTCCTTTCCTCCCCATAACAATGTGTGTAAGTAGGGAAGTCAGTTACTTGGGAAAGCCTGTGTTCTTCAGTATTTTGTTAACAGAAATTATACTTAGAGAAATTTGGATTTCACTGAGGTGGACATAATTCAGTTTCACCTTAAAATACTTTTTTGTTGTTTCTATAATTGTAGTTTGGAGACATTTGAAATTAGAATATTCTTTATTGATATTTTCAATATTGATAACATTCTCTGAAATAACTATAAAATCCAGGCTCTATGCCCTATAACTAGTACATTTGAGAACCAAGAGTTTCTCTTAAAGATTACTTAAACGTACAAGGCAAGACCTGAGTGAAAATAATGCAGAATTCAACATTCTTCTGACTGGCTTTCAAAATGGCAGTTGAAACTATGGTACAAAATTGCACCTTTTTTTTTAACCCATGCAACGCTAAGGGGCCTGAACTTGGACGGAAGCGAGCTCCAGCGTCTGGTAGGTCACGGTGGCACAGGCCGCTCGACTGCTCCCGCGCTTTGTTGTTGAGGAGCAAGGACTAAGCATTGGTGACCCTGACCTGCCCGACTGTCCTGTTGGCTCGGGGTCACTCGCGGTCCTAAGGCAACTCTCGGTTTCTTTTGCTGCCTTCTTGGTCTTCGGTGTCTGGATACTGAGAAAGATCCAGGGTCAGAACTCTGCTGAACATGCAGTCATCGTGCTGAAATGAGAAAGGACAGCAGAGAGTCAGCTCTCTGCTTAGGGACGAAGTGTCATCAAACGTCAAGGAAGGGCCACTAGGGAACCTGGATTCGCACTTAAAAAGGGGCCTCCTTCTAGTCACTGGTCTCCGGTTAGGTCCGCTTCCTGCTGGTGCGTTCTCTGGTGAAGGTGCGCGCGCACGCCAGCCCAGATGCCCGCGCCGAGGGGCTGTTGACAGTGGGCACGAGCGTCCCACGGGCAAAGGTGACGCGCTGCTGCAGGAGGACGCTCGCTCCGCGCTCGCCCCACTCCTCACCTTCCCCTCACCTGCCTCCCTGACCTGGAAGCCCCAAGCCCCTTCCCCTTGGTTTATCCTGGAACGGGGTAGAAACCCAAGTCCCAGCCAGCCAGCCCTGGGATTACGCTTCACCAGGTGCGTCCGCCGTGCGCATGTGCGGTGCGCGCGGTACGAGCGGTTTTTCTCGTTGAGCTGCCTTTGCCAGTCTGATTTACAGAGAACCTAAGATGGGTAGAGGAGGAAGATCTTTTTGGCTCCCCTACGCTGGAATGAGAATTTCCAGGGGTCCCCTCACATCTTGGGGGCACAGGAAGGGAAGTTAATTTTTATCTTCGTTTAAATGAAAACTCAGGAAGTAAAGCCTAACTGTCCCCAAACTGAATGATCTGAATTAGCTGCTCTACTCCATTAGCTCAGGTCAGTATTTTGAACAGCTTAAGAAAGGTGGGTGTGAATTTATACAACCTGGAATGTCTGATCAACTTGTTTTTTCCTCTGGTCCTTTAGTGCTACCCACAATGCATTTATTTTGCCTAAAACATTCAAACATTAGAAAAATAGGAAATAGGATAGTAATAGTTTGCTGTGTACGTTAGCTCGTACCTTTAACTGTTCTGCAAGTTTTGATTTGCTTTTTTCACTTAAAGCCTATCTTTAAAATTTCTGTGTACTGCCATAGAAAAATACGAGTTTTTAAAATCTCATTTGGTTTAAAAAATCATTTAGGCCTATATTTATCAACTCCAGAACTCAAAGCGTATCTCCAGACTCCACCGGTACTTGTGATGAGGTGTCAGGAAAGAACTCAGGGACACTTCTCCTCTCCCTGTTGCTGATCTTTACCTCTGGATAGACGCCTATCAGCGCATCGGCTTTGGAATATAACTCCTCTTTTAGGGAAATGATTATCATCTGAAACTGCTCCTGCGTCTGCTGTTTGATGTAACTTGAGACCTGGGGGGAACGAAAAGCCCACATTTCACCAGCAGGGAAAGGCCTCGTTGCTGGGCCCCTGGATGGTGACTGGGCCTGTCTCCAGCTTTGCCCGTGGGAGGTGACAAGGCACTTACCTTCCTTTCTGGTAACTCAGTAAATCCACTATAACTGCAGAAATGGAAATAACTCAGATTCTAAAATAAGAGGTTAGTAAAAAAGTTGTAAATCTTATTAAACCTAGCATCTAAAACTTTTAAGAATATTTTTAAGAACAGAGGTCTAACTTAAGATACCGTCAGGTGAAAATGCAATCAGCTTTCATAACAAGATAAAAACTGCCACTCAGACACTATGTGGGAAAGGACAGACTGGTATTTAAACTTCCAATTTCCTGTTTTGCTAACGCAAAGCCAGAAGTGGGAAAAATGACAATTATATATGTATTCATAACCATAATCTAATTATTTGGTTGGAGTTGAACTCAGTGGCTCCTTCAGGAAGCTCAAATCCCAGGCATGAGAATATAAGAACAAAATGGACTCTGGAGAGAAACGAGTCTTGTTGAACAAACTCTGCTCGGAACCCGGAGAAAGATGGGGAAGAACTCGGCCACAGTTTCACAAACCGTCTGCCAACTCCCAGCTGGGGTGAGGGGCCAGAAGGGCTCTTCTCCATCTGCTTCGGTCCCGACTGCACCAGGGCGGTAAGGACGCAGCTCTGGAAGCAGGTACGGCAGCCCTGGGTGGGGAGCGAGTCACTAGCTCAGGTGAGTGATGAGGGGAAAGTGCCCTGGGCCAAGAGGGGTGGATCCACAGGCAGAAGGAACTCCATCTGGCGCTCGAGGCCATGGTGGCCACGAGGATATGCGGGACTGTGAGGCCCTGGGATGCCGACACGAGTGGAAGGTGAGGCAGAAGGGACGTGTCTGGCTTGGAGCGCTACCTGTGGTAAACGGGGCACCCTGAGCACGGGACGGAGTGGGAGCTACTTTGGGTTTGGTCCTCCTCCATTCGCTCATGCTCAGTAGGGCAGTGGAGTGGCCAGGAGGGTAAATCTCAAGGGAAGACTGGAAGTTAAAAGGGTTTTCAAACATAGGAGGGGTGCCAACAGAAGAGTCTTAAGAGTCCCTGGAGATGGTGGTAATACAAACATCTAAATTTTGCTAGAAGACACAGATAACTTAAAAAAGGCAGTCCACAAAAATGGAGCCCCAACCCCAACATACAAAACATGGGTACAGAGTACCTAAAGTCACCTCTTCAGGGGCGATTTCTCCCAAATGAGGCCATTGAGTCCCCTTAGCCAGTGCACACCAGCTGGCATTCAAGAGACGAACAGATTTTCTGTTGCTCCCATGTCTTCCTTCCCTGGTTACTCTGAAACCTGGCAGGTCCCAGAAGGGGCCTCTTGCTGTCCTCCACAAGGTTCAAGGGACTGAGGATCAGCTTTCTACATTTTGTGACTGTGGAGCTGACAGGCTGTCCTTAGGCACTCGGCGCCCCATGCAGGAAGGGTCAGGGGAGGACAGCTCGGGGAGCGCGGGCAGAAGACAGGCCCCTCAGCCGCAGCTCCGGCCCCTCCCGGCAGACTCAGCCGACTGAGAAAGCAGGCGGACCAGCTTCGGAGCCGCGGCCTGCCGGAGTGGCACTGAGAACTGAAGACACCGCTCCGAGAAGGACTCCTTAGCCAAGCTCACAAGACTTAAGTGTATAGCAGGATGCCAGCTTCCACTGTGCCTGGAATCGGAACTAGGAGTCTGATTCACCCATCTCCAAAACGACGGCTCTGGCAGTAGGACCATGACACCAGAGTCCGTGGGCCGGAGCTGTCCCATCCCTCGGCAGCCGTGGGCCAGGTACTGCCAGCGATGGACTCCGCGGCCTTTGGTCAGGCTTCCATGGCCGACTCCGTTCTCATGTCAGAAAGTCACAGTGGCGGTATGTGGCTTCAGTGTCCTTCTCTTTCAGGGGGCTTTTTAGATCTATGCTCTCATCTTAAAGGCTGACCTTAACTTGAACTCCCAAGAGTTAAACTGTTTCCTTAGTTCCCACGTCTCAAATACTGAGAAATACGATCATGAAGTGCAACAATCGGGTAAATTTTAATAAATGCAAGGGGGAGGGCAGAAGTTTGAACTTTAATTCCTTTGGAATTTTATTTAGAAGTGTTATTTTTGGACTTTATTAAACAACTGATTTGGCCCCATTTGCCACCAGGCCTCTTGGTGACCCTCTAGGTCCCAAAATCTAGATCTGGGGACAAGTTACCCACTAGCAATGCTGTGGATTCAGTAAAACAATCCTCACCTGACTCCTATTCTGACTCCCTAGGAATTCATTGAGGGTCCCCTAAACCTCAAATGAAAACTGCCCCAAATTTTCAGATATTTAACCTAGATTTGACTTTTAATCAGCAATTACCAACAAACTGTGTGTGTTCAGGGTAAACTGTCTTTCTGACCAGAATGTGATCCTCGAGTTGTAAGCGATCTACTGGAAATTAAAAGCAGAAAGAAACTGACCTTGCCAATGTTAGTGTTGTCCAGAGCTGCATCCACTTCATCTAACACAAAGAACGGAGCGGGCCGAAAACTAGAAAAAAAGTTACACTCCAGTAAGTTACAGCTTTCTATTAAGAGGATTAACAGTATTCGGAGTAAATAAGATACATCATTTTGAATGCTTTAGCCTCAGTCACCAATGACCCCTATGATGCTAAATCCAATGTGCAATGCTCAATCCGTGTCCCCCGTGACCACTGCAGGTGGCATCTGGGGCTGCCCCCGGCCTGTGGCTCTGACATCAAGGGTGACCGTCTGCTCCCCTCACCTGACCCACCGCTCCTTCCATCTCTTCCACCAACTCCTCTCAGTGCAGTGCCCTCGGGGTGCAGTGCTTACACACTAATTAGCTGCCCTGGTGATTTCATCTCCTCTCAGGGTTTCAATACCATCCGTGTCTTCACGGCTCCCACACTTGCCTCCCTTGTCCAGCAGCTGACTCGACAGCTCCATGTGGGTGTCTGGTAAACAGCTCAAGGTCATCCAAGGTCCTGCTCCTCACCTTGCCCCCCAGAACTACTCCCTCCAGGGGTCTTCCCACTCTAGTTGATTCGGGGTCATCCTGCCGCCTCCTTCACACCCCACACCTTGTCTGCTCAGCCTCTGCTCTCACCCTGGTCCAGCCCACCCTCATCTTCCACCTTGATTGCTACAATAGTTTCCCAGCCCTGTGCCTGCCACTGTTGTATACAGTCTATTTGCTACAGATGCCAGGCTCTCTCTGGCCTCAGGACCTTTGCACTTGCTGTTCTCCATGTCTAGAACATTCTTCTCTTAGCTATCTGCAAGACTTACTCCATTCCTTCAAATCTTTGCTCAGATGCTGCCTTCTCAAGTAGGCCTTCCCAGGTGAGTCTATTTTAATATTGCAAACCCTACTCTGCTACTGCTACTTATGATCTCCATTCCCTACTTTTTTTCTCTGTAGCATCTGTCATTTCCTGATAGTCTCTATGTTAGAGAATTAGTTTACCAATATACCTTCTCATTTGTCTTGCCCAACAAAAATGAAGTCTCTGAGGCAAAGATTTTGTTTTGTTCACTGCTGTATCTCCAAAGCCTACACCAGCACCCGACACACAGTAGATATGAAATATCTGCTGAATAAATGGATGGCAGTGACACCTGGTACTAGTCCTGTTCTGCTGAAACTTGCTCAGCACAGGCTCGTGCTTCGATTCCTGCGGCCTGCTCTCCCCAGAGTCTGCTGGCATTAATGCTACTTCCTGTTCCTCTCCTGTAATGGCCTCTTCTTTATCCTTGGGAGCAGTAAAAAGCAGCTGGAGAACTTAGGCTGATCTTCCTGGTCAGGAAAGCAGAGAGGCAGCATCATGTGCACCTAGATCTTCATCTAAGGATTTGCATGTTGAAAGTCAGTTGCCCTAATTTTAGCTAATGTCTTCTTGATTTACTTCAACTGCCACCACTACTAGAGGAAATGAAGTTAAACATTTTTTTCAGAAGAAATACTTCACTTAACATTCTTTACATAAACACAGGTCTGTGAACAGGCACTAGGAAAATAATACACAGGTCAGGAGTTTTTGTTCTGTTTGGGTTTGTTGTTAACTGTTGGCAATCCTGATGTCCTATGTGGCCATTCCAGTATTTCTTTTTCTTCTTTCTTTTCGGTAAAGCTAGAATATTAGTAGCTACTGATGATTACAGAAAATTAATGAAAATCTGTCAAAGATGGAATTGTGTGTTAGATTTGCAGTCTAAATTATTATAGGCCTAAAACAGAACCTGAATATTGTCTGGCTAAAGAAAACAGTTTTGTATCACATATGCTAAAACAGGTCTTCTGTAGGAGGGTCCGTTTGGTTTCAGCCCCGATGCAAAATCAGATAGCTTGCTGTGGCCTTTACCTGTGCACGGCGAACAGGAGGGCTAACGCGGCCACACACTTTTCTCCCCCTGACAGATTGTCCATTGGCATGAACCGTTTGCCTGGAGCCACGCAGTTATAGCTAATTCCCTCTAGGTAAGGCTCTTCTGGGTTCTCTGGGCTAAGAAATGCCTGAAACACAGGTTATTTACTTAACAAAATCAGGAAAGCAATTAGTAAATTTCAACTTTGGAAACTGCAATAGAGCTTAACTGCAAAATAGTCTATTGGTTCGGTTTTCCTCCACTGTGATGGCAAAATACGAATGCCTGTAGCTGGCTCTACAGTGTAGTCACAGGAAACAGGGCTGTCTGGGTGGGGAGTAGAGTGAAAACACTCTTAACGCACACAAAGGATCAGGCCTCCCCACAGGCCTGCCAGGCAGACCTCAGCAGCACGCACCACCGTCTGACAAAAACAGTCTTCAGTTAGCCCACTCGGTGGCCCATTCACCAGCCACTTACTGAATACCTGCTGTGGGCCAGGTACTGTGGCTACAGAGATGAATCCTGCCTTTAAGGAGTTACTGGGCTTATTTCAGTCTTACTTTACTGAAAATAACAATTTTTGGCTAAAATTCTCAATATCTGATCCAGGATCAACTTTCAGTCATAAAAGACCACCACGAGAAAGGTAAAAGCAGATGTGGAAGACCTGATCGACATCTTGAGTCCACATTCAGCGCCACAGGATCTGCCATGGGGACTGACTGTGGGTCGGGCAAGGGTTCTAGCAAAGAGACTATCGACACAATCCTGCCTTTGGTTCTTTCCTTCTCCTGACCCCAGGTCAGCCATTTCCCAAGACCCTCTACATTACAGGTACCTTCACTACAGAGACCACTGACTGTTCCATAAAATCAAATTAGCACCAGAGAGCAGAACTCCAGAACTGAAGAGAATCTGGAAACTAAGTGACCAACCCCTTCATTTTTCAGATGAAGAGACAGGCCCAGAGAGGTTCTGCCGTATTCGGGCTGGCCAGTGGTAGAGTGAGTGGGATCTAGAACACACCCAGTTACGATGGGAACCAATCTTCTGGAACTGACTTTGCTCCAGAAGTGGGTCACTCAGATAATGTGACACATTTATTTCCCACCAGAGAACCACCACCACCAACACAAAGTTCCCAGTAACATTTGGGGGTGAAAAATACATACTTGGGCACTGACGTTTCTGCAGAGCTTCTTGTAGATTTGATCAATTGAGATCGAGACGTGCTCAAAACACCGGCTGAAAAGGTCATATCTCCTTTTTTTCACCTGTTCAAACTCTTGCCTACACATTCTGGCTTCCTTTCTGCTGGCCTCAAAAGCTAAGAGAAAATCAATGTTCTTTATTTTGCAGACCACTGAGGGGCTGGCTCCTCTTATTTCAACTTTAAAGCACAGAATATTTTATTATTGATTTTGTTTGAGGGAGAGCGAGCACAAGCAGGGGGAGAGGCAGGCAGAGGGAGCCCCATGCGGGACTCGATCCCAGGACCCTTGGGATCATGACCTGAGCCAAAGGCAGGTGCCTAATGGACTGAGCCACCTAGGCATTCCGAAAGCATAGAATATTTTAAAAACTGGATTTTGAATTTGGTTGTCTTGGGTACAGTCTACCTTTAAAATACATCAATTGTTATTAATTCCAAGAACATGGCTCTTAAAATTGATGAGCCATTTTTCTAGTAGGGCTAATTTTAAGATAATGACAAATTCTGAAAGAGTATCTAATATGACCATCCTGCTGGTATAAAAAAATATCTGTTCTAAAATAACCAATACACCTGGGGCACCTGGGTGGCTCGGTTGAGCGTCTGACTCTTGGTTTCTGCTCAGGTTGTGATTTCAGGGTCATGAGATTGAGCCCCGTGTGGGGTGGGGTGGGGGTGCTCTCTCTCTCTCTCTCTCCCAAATAAATTTTTTAAAAAATAATAAACCTGTTTTTGAGTTAAAGCAGAACACTTTAAAAAAAGGAAGCAATTACTATTAAAAATGCACATTATTATAAAACAACAGAGAAAATATATGATACAAATAAAAAGCTAAATAAAAATAAAGCTACAATCCAGGGGGGATTGCTGATAAGTGTTACAGAAATCCAAACCCGCCACACCCAAGAATATGGCCTTGCTGACAACTATAGCTCAGGCTCACCATCTGTGGACTCCTGAAACTTGTCTCTGACCGTCTTTAGTTTCTCCAGGGCTCTCAGGTTTGGGGCCGCAGTCTTCAAGAGGTTGTCTTCCTGGGATGCCACCTGTTGCAGCAGGAGCCTCAGGTGGGCCTCCACTTCCTTATCAGTTTGTAGAGCCTATTATTGGGTAAAGAACAGCAATGATTAGCTTGCCTTTCCAAACTGTTGAGTAATTAGGCACAGGGCCCTTCAGGATCGGGCCCTTCAGGATTGGGCCCCTGCCTCCCTCCCTCCCTCCACATCCATGCCTTCCCTCCCTCAAAGCCCTCTGAGTCTGAAGTGCCAGCAGGCTGCGCTATCCCTCGCTTCCGGAGCCGGCTGTGCTCGTCCACGGCTCTAGTGTTAAAGACCCTGCTCTCCTGGAACCTGCTTCCCTTCCGTACGTCCTCATCTGGCTAAAAAGCAACAATTCACATATTACTTTCACTTATTCATTACAAAATACTGATTGTTTACTATGTATTAGGCATTCGGTGATGAAAACTGTTCTGGCCTTGCCCGTGAAGAGCTCACAGGGAAGTCACACTGGCATTGACAACAGCGCGAATACGCTGTGACCGGCGAGCAAAGGTGCTGCGAGGCAGAGAGAAGGGACCCAACTTGGGAGGCGGGGGTGGCACTGAAGCTGAAACCAGAACAGTGGGTACAGCTTGAATGAGGAGGGGAGGGAAAAAGTGTGTAGGCCTAACCTTGCAGGAAAGCATTCTTGCCCTCCCAGGATCTTTAATTTATATATGATAAAGGTGACGTTTTAAGTCCCTGGGAAGAGAATTACTTGAAACATGTTGCATAAATGGGCTAACTTAGGTCACTTTTTAAAAACCGATTCTTCCCTTATACCATATGCCAAAATGAATTTCAGATGAATTAAATAGGTAATGAAAGCAAAACCATGAACAGGAAGAATATTTATACTCAGTAATAAGGTGGGGAAGGATTTTCTAAAATGAAAGCATTAAATAGACTATAAAAAAGACAAACGCTATTTTCTGATTGCCTCAAAAGAGCATAAATACAATCCAAGAGCCCAGTGAATCTCACAACATATATTAAGGACATGTGAAATTAAAAGATGTGGGTATTGCTACTTGGCATCCGCTCTTCTACTCCCTTTTTTTTTTTTTTTTAAAGATTTTATTTATTTATTTGACAGACAGCAAGAGAGGGAACACAAGCAAGGGGAGTGGCAGAGGGAGAGGGAGAAGCAGGCTTCCCGCCGAGCAGGGAGCCCGATGTGGGGCTCGATCCCAGGACCCTGGGATCATGACCTGAGCCAAAGGCAGACGCTTAACGACTGAGCCACCCAGGCGCCCCTCTACTCCCTCCTTTCTCACAGAGCCCGTGTTTAACCATTTCTCCCTCAAGCGTCCCCTGTAGCTGGGGGTGGGGTGGGGTGGGGGTCCCTGCTTGATGGAGGGCTAGTCAGGATGGAGTCAAAACAGAAACAAACGTAGCATTGTAGTATGGCTTACAGGGGTGCCTATGACACAGAGCTAGAGCTGCTCAATTAAAGAGCCCTTGAAACCGCATCCCAGGTGTGTGCCCTGCAGGCTGTGTCCCCGAATGCAGGGGCCACAGCGGAACCCTGTGACGGGCAATAGCTAGGACGCTGGAGTATGGTGGCTACTTCTGTCACTTGCAGGATTTCTCAGAGACTAATGATCATTGTGAATCTTCAAGGAGACAACCCTTCAAAAAACTGGCTGACCACAGGGTGCCTGGGTGGCTCAGTTGGTTGAGCGACTGCCTTCGGCTCAGGTCATGATCCTGGAGTCCCAGGATCGAGTCCCACATCGGGCTCCCTGCTCAGCAGGGAGTCTGCTTCTCCCTCTGACCCTCTTCCCTCTCGTGCTATCTCTCATTCTCTCTCTCTCAAATAAATAAATCTTTAAAAAAAAAGAAAACAAAGGGCGCCTGGGTGGCTCATTTGGTTAAGCGACTGCCTTCGGCTCAGGTCATGATCCTGGAGTCCTGGGATCGAGTCCCACATCGGGCTCCCTGCTCAGCAGGGAGTCTGCTTCTCCCTCTGACCCTCTTCCCTCTCGTGCTCTCATTCTCTCTCTCTCTCTCAAATAAATAAAATCTTTAAAAAAAAAAACTGGCTGACCATAGAAGCTTTTCTTCTTTGGGAAGAAATTTCACGATACTCATGTTCTGCTGAACACACAGTGAGAAATGCTGATCTAAACATTTTTAAAAAGCCACCTACTTAAACCATTTCTTCAAAAACCATTAGGAAATCTACATTTTTCCCTAAATGTAGGCTCTATGGTCTAAAAAGTATTGTGTAGTATATTTAAATATTCACCATCACAGTGAGTTAGTCCTAACAGAAATCTTTCGATTACCTTCAAATCATCTCTTAGAGAGCTGTAGTCTACCTTGATGGCTGCTTCTTTCTCATAGATGTCAACTGTCGCCTGGGTACTTTCTGCTTCAGTTCCCAACTGAAACACAGACGAAGCCCTTTCTTTGTTATATGAAATGGTGATCTTATCCATCTGCCCAAGCCCTCCAGTTGATTCCCACCTCACTCCTTACTGGAGCCTCCAAGGCCATGATGATCTGGCAACAAGATCCCCAGGTACTTCCATGTGCACGGTATGAGTTCAGAACTAGTAATCTAGTAAAGTCTCTCCCACAACAGAAGAATCTTCTATAAGAACCCTGGCAGGTCTAGGTAACATACTTTTTTTTTTTTTAAGATTTTATTTATTTGAGGGGCACCTGGGTGGCTCAGATGGTTAAGCATCTGCCTTCGGCTCAGGTCATGATCTCTAGGTCCTGAGATCGAGCCCCATGTCGGGCTCCTGGCTTGCCGGGGAGTCTGCTTCTCCCTCTCCCCCTGCTTGTGCTCTCTCTCTCAAATGAATAAATAAAATCTTAAAAAAAAATAAAAGATTTTGAGAGAGCGCACACTTTCCCTCCAGTGGAAGGAAAATCTCAGGTCCCACCTACCAATTATGGTAAGACAAGTACTCCTATAATGATTATTGTAATTATTTCTACCCAGTGATCCTTGTTCAGCCCTCTGGAGAGAGACAATTTAGACCTCATGCCTTTTCTGTTTCAGGCTTTATGGAGAACATCTTGTATAGCATCCCCTTTACATAGCCACTTCTAGATGTGCTTACAAAATTCCAATCAGGGAACTCACCACTAAAGGCCCTCCATCTTTCTGGTAGAAAGTGTTCCCTAGGAGCAGAAATCTGTCTCTGTGGCCTCTACTCCCTAACCCTGTATCCCCCTTGAGACGAGAAAGAACAAATGTGATCCTCCTTCTGTGATAGACTCTCTTCTAATGGAGGAGAATGATTGTATTCCCCAAGTCTTCTCTTCCCAGCACATGGTCTGGGCCTTTTTGCTCAGTTGAATGCTTTACTCTTAGGAAGCATCAGGCTTTAAAAAGTGAACGTAATATTCCATTTGGCCTGACCAGCACAAAGTAGAGGAGAACTATCATTTTTTCTTTTTAGATAATGATTCAGTATCAGTCCAGCTTAAAGCCTTTAATACCTGCTCTGAAATACCACACCATGAGTATGAAATTCTTTCAAGCCAATGAAGTCATTTCACATTCATATGGGCTTGCTGGAGAACAATTCTGAAGGTTCATTAGGAAGCAATAGGAAGAAAGCAGCGGCATGAATACTTGACGAGTAACACTCACTTCAATGTCAGCCATTAAAATTGTTTCCTCCTCTCTGTAACCTCTTCTAAAATTACATTGCCTTTTATAAACAGACGTTCTATTTCTATAGTATAAAACTATTGTTTTTCTGCTCCCATCTATTTCTGCTGTTCACAGACCCCTCCCTTCTCTCTCTGACCCAGAGTTCTTCCCCAGATTTTCCTAACAGAGAGCGCAGGGGAGAGTTCTCTTTCTTCTCTGGTCAAAGCTAGTGGTTACAGCTGCGGCCTGTGGGAAAGCCGATTTGGGAGAATAAAGCCAATATATATTGAGCCAGAAAGAGTTCTTGACGGTGTTCAAATTCCTAGACTGAGTCAAGCATGAGACCGCCCCCTCTCCCGATCCCACCCCCCTACCCAACCCTATCCCTTTACCCCCTTTAAAGCCATCTGAGTTGGGTTTATGTCTCTTGTGGCCAGGAAAGGGTTTTCTCCCTTCCTTACCTCTGTCTGCAATGTGACCTCTGCTACAATTGAGAAAAAAGACAAAGACTTTTTGAGTGTAAGGTTATGAGATCTGGTCAACGTTGGCAAGAGAAGAAGTGTTTTATAGATGCCTCACTCTGAAGAATCCAAAGGACTCAGGGCACTTCTGGGGTGGGGGATGGATGGAACGGAGTAGCTGTCTGTCTGCTGGGGCAGAGCAGAGAGGGGAGGGGGGATGTGGAAGGGAGACCCCGGGGAAGAGCTCAGAGATGACCTGAGAGGCAGGACAAACCCTTCTGTCACTGGCTGTGGATGGGCTAATGGGAAGATGCTCTTTCCAAAGTGCACAGCAGCTGCTTCCCTAACACCAGCCCCAAAGGTTACTGATGCCAACAGCTCAAATTCTCTGATTCCTCTTGGGATCTAATGTGTAGGAAAGAAACTACGGCCCATCCTGTGGGGCTAAAAGGCATGGATCAGCAAGAGACAGAACTGCACGAAATGCCCAGTCCTCTGCAATGATGATCGTGGTAGGAGGAGATGCCTTCTCCACTCCTAGTGGAGCTTTAGGCCCAGGGGAAGCGTCTGCAGACCTGGGACTTCACTAAGCAGCCAAAGGGTATCACATAAAGTTCCCCACGACCACACTTATTTTGAAATCCTGAGGTAGAATACCTCCACTTCAATGATGTCATCCAGTGATCCCAACAAAAGGGCTATTTCAATGTCTTGAACTTTGCAATCAAGCAGCAGATTATGCTTCTCTAGCTGTTTCTGTTCCAAAGAAGTTTGAATGATTACAATTTCTTTTTGCCATTTTCCCACTTCCCTGTAAATACACAGATATGAAAAGTGAGCTATTACTCCTTACGTAAAGTTGCACCAAAGAAGAAAAATGAATGTGTTATAAATAAACTCACATGGAAAAAAGATTTTTTCCTATGCGTGCTATAAGTTCTAGAGTTACCTCACTGATGCTTATAATATAAACTTTAACACTCTTGGGAAAGGCCATGAATGCAATTAGTTAATCCTAGGGAGGATTTTTTAAATAATAAACAATTACTTTAATCAGGCTGGTTTTGTTTCCTACTTTGTTTTAAAATCTATGTAATTTTTCAAGCGGCATTTCTCCCTCAATGTAAACTCTACGCTTTAGAACCTCAAAACAAGAGAAACAACCTTTTAATAAGAGAAATGTCTTACCAATTAATTACATATCTAATGGTCTGAACATTTCTTTTTACTACAACCACTATTAATATAATGCCCTCTATCTTAAATGAACGAGGGCTTGGGGGTTTTACCAGTTAAAACAATATGGGATTTTAAAGAGGACCTAGAAATAGGACCAAAAATAAATTAAGAAGTATATGGTTTTCAAAAATACAATGATGAACAGAAATGTAGTTCTGTTTATACTAAATACAAGAGTGAAAAAAAACTCAGGAATAAATGAACTTTAATTCCACTCAAAAATCTTAGACAAAGAACTTTCTGGCTCTATCTTGAAATGCTGAAAGTCTTTAACCAGTGAGGAAAACCATGAAATGCCAAGCGTTGACCAAACCAGAGCACATTTCATCTGATCGCTTACGGTCACGTCCAATCATACAGGAAAGCAGAGGTCACTGTGGTACAGCAGGGCTGCCTGATTCCAAGTGTCTTTGTCCCCATCATGACAGACACACATGCTTATTATGTGCCAGGTACCATTCTAAGTGTCATATGAACAGTCCCTCATTTAATCCTTACACCTCTCCTGGGAGGAAGGCGCTAGGAGTAACCCCATGTTACTATTTCCTAGATGAGGAAATGACAGCATAGTATGTAAGTAGCAGAACTGGGGTATGCAACCACACAGACTGGCCTCCAGATCTCACGCCCACCCCGCCCCGCCCGGCTTTGTCCCACAAGCGGACTAGAGAGGGGCCCGGTACAACAGTGTCCGAGGGATTTAGGGTAAGGGACTCTTCATACACGTCCATGTTTTCTTCTGCCAAAGAGAACTATTCACTCTAAAGAACTAATCGTCTCTTTTGGTTTTCCCCCCAAAGAACACTTGAAAGGTGTGATGTGGGACTAAAAGCACCAAGGGTACATATTCAAATAACAAAACTTCCTACAATAAATTTCAAATTCATAATAAACGTCTTTAAAATTCTGGTTATGGTCCTTCAAACTGATATACCGAATTACCTATCAATAGCCAAAAATTTCTTCCGTTCTTCTTCCAGCTGAGCTTGGACCTTCTCAGCGTTGGCATTCTGAGTGACAAATACGTCCTTAAGTTGCTGCCACTTTGCCATGAGTTCATCCACAATTTGCAGACAATTTTCTTCAGCCTGAATGAAGATGATTTGCATTGTAGACTCACCATCTTTTACATTAATAAGGTCAACAGATCATCTTATTGTCAAGAAACCAACCCAGTGATTCTGGGATAAACCCTTATTCTGTGTGCTGCTTGAACCCCTATCCCAGCATGTGACCCACTCTGGTTCTACACTTCTTGGAAATTACTGCCTTTGTCCTTCACTTTGGATTTGTCCCTCAGCTTGCTGCCGTCTGACTTCTGTTCCCATTCTCCAGTGAAAATGTTCTTGCTACTATGACCTCTTAATTGGTAATCTGACCCCCCCAGAGCGGCGGGGTTTCTGGCTCTATCTTCGTAACCCATGTGACCACTCCTTCCAGAATTCCACCCTTGCCTCACTGCTCTTCGTGGTCCTTTGCTCTGCCTGGGAGCCTCAACCGCTCATACACGGTTTCAATTCACTCCCATAAACCAGCCCGGGCTCCTCCCACCACCTACGTGCTCTTCACCTGCCAGAAATCACTGCCTAGGTGTCACACAGGCAATTCAAGCTCCATGGGTCCAGAATGTTCTCCCTTTAACTTGCTCCTCTTATCCACCAATCACCCAAACTAGAACTCAGGAGTCATCAGTGGCATCCCCCCTAGCCTCCCACACCCACTTCAACATCTAGTAATTCATGAAACTGCTGATTTGACTTCTGGTATTTCCCAAATCTGCCCACCACCCTTTTGGTCACCAGGAGGACACTTCAGGAGCTCGACCCGTGTTTACTTAATGGAGGAAGTCATCATCTCAGTGATGGGGCACCTCAGCCACCTGTTCTTACCTGCTTTAGGTCATCAATGTCCTCTCTGCCTCTCTGGATGGTTTCTTTCAACGTGTTGATCTTACTCAGTCTCTTCTTCAGCTGATTGCGACTATATTCGAGTTGAGCATTAAGACGAGTTTTTTGTTTCTCAAATTCTAATCTAGTATAATAGAGTCAAGCGTTATAAGTGGTAAAGAGTCTTTTAATTCTTTACTTTTTAGTTGTTATTATGGAAAATGTCAAGAAAACATGAAGTAGAAGGAATACTATAAGAAGTTCAGTCCCCGGTCAGTCCTGTTCATCTATAGCTGTGCCCGTGACTGCTCCACCACCAGGGTGTCTGAAGCACATTTCAGACATCATATAATTTCATCTGTAAATATTTAAGTCTGTGTCTCTGCAAGTGAAGTGACCGTTAACACAAAACCACAAGCTACTATAGATACAAATGATGACAATTCCTTAATATTAGATTGCTCTCATTGCCAGATTTCCTGAGTCTCATTAAAAACAAAACAAAACTGGTTTGTTTGAATCAGAATCCATACATTGCATATGAATATATGTTTCTTCAGTCTTTTGTTATCGGTGGGCTCCCTCCCCTCCTCTTTAAGTTACAAGTGATGTACTTATTCTCATTTATTTAGTCTGTCTTTCCAAATGGCTAGTCATCCACAAACTCCCAACTCGGGAATTGAAGAGCATATCTTTCCTGAAGCTCCTTCCTCCTTTGCCAGCCTCCTCATAAAGAACTCCAAGACCAACTGTAGCTCCTCCTTCCCATCCTCTCTCCCTCACATACCCTGCTAAAGGATCATTCAATCCAGACAGATTTTCAAGCACTAACTGTTACCAGAGACTAACTGTGCTAGATACTGCTGATACAAAGACCACCATAGCAGTGATGATTAAAGACACAGAGTGATATTCAGTGAGATGTCACTGTGTGCCAGACTGTCACACATGCAAGAATTAACTCACTTCAGTTGTAGGACTCTCTGAGTGGCTAATACCACTATCCCTATTTATGAGGAAGCTGAGCAGACAAAGCACAGAGTCAAGTTTCTTGCCCAAGCCTACCCCATGAGGAAGGGATGGAGTGGGCGTGACACAGAGTCCCTGCTCTTAACAACTTTGGTTAAGTGCCTGCAGGAAGGGTTAAGAACAAACCCTTGAAGGATTTATTCCTGCTGCAGGAGGCAGACATGCAGACTATGTACAAGGGAAACACTTCTTCACTTGGCTCTGGAACACCATACCACTCTGGCTTTCCTGTCCCCTCACTGGCTGCTCCTTTGATGGTTCCTGGTGATCTTACCCAGGCACATGGCTTTAAGTACCATCTGCATACAAACAATCCCAGAATTTATACCTCCAGCCAGGACCTCTCCCAGGAACTCCTAACTTACACATTTAACTGCCTACTCCACATCTCCAATTGGATGTCAAAGGCATCCCAGGACACATAATGGATAAGCTACTAGAAGCAGTAAGAGGTTTTAGCAAACTTATGTTACACCAATCTAAAATTTGATAGCGTTTTTCTACACCAGTAGAAGCCAATTAGAAAAATATAAAAATAAATACTACTCATAAGAGAAAAAAACCTATAAGATATCTAGGAAATAACTTAAGATCACATAAGATCTCTATGGGAAAAAAACTTTAAAATTCTAATAAAGGATATAGATGATTAGAATAAGTGAAGAGACATACCATGTTCTTAGGTTAGAGGACTCGATATTTTGAAGATGTTCTCCCCAAATAAATCTATAAATCTGATGCAATCTCAATCAGAATTCCAGTTGGATATTTATAAGAAACTCAATAAACAGTAATAGGCATAATTCTTTACAAAGAAAATCTATCAAAGTTCAAGTAGACTTCAGAAAAAAGAATATGACAGGAGGATAAAAGGAGCATTTCACAGTGATAAAGGGATAAATTCACCAAAAAGACATAATGTTCCCAAATTATGTATGGACCTAATCACAAGGCGGTAAAATAAATGAAGTAAAAACTGACAGAACTGGAAGAAGAAACTGACAGATCCAAAAGTATACTTGGAAATTTCAACACTCCTCTCAGTGTCTGCTGAACAACTAGGCAAAGGACCAGTAAGTATAGAGAGGACTTGAGTGATACTAACCAACTGGATTTAACTGACACCCAAAGAACACTCCATCCAACAGCAGGTACCTAGTAAACAACACACTTCTAAACGCCCCATGGGTCATTGAAAGAAATCACAAAATATTTGAAAATATTTTGAATGGAATGAAAATGAAAATACAACATACCAGAAGTAGTGGGATGCAGCTTAAGTGGTAATTACAAGGAAATATATAGTTTAAAAGGCCTATATTAGAAAATAACCCAAAATAAGAAGAAAATAATAAAAGTAAGAGCAGAGATCAATAACACAGAAACAGACAAACCAGAGAGAAAATCAATGAAGCCAAGAGCTGCTCTTAGAAAGGATCAATAATAAATTAATAAAATGAATACATCTCTAGGTAGGCATCAATAAGAAAAGAAAGAAGATAAATCACTAATATCAGAAACGGAAGAAAGGACATCAGTATAGATCCTACAGACATTAAAAAGGATAAAAAGCAAATATTATTAATAACTTTGTTAATAAATCTGACAACTTGGATGAAATACATAAATTCCTTGGAAGACACAAACTACCAAAACTAACTCAAGAACAAAGATATCCTGGGTAGTCCTATATTTATTAAGAGAACTGAATTTGTAACTAAAAACCTTCTCACAAAGAAAGGTGGGTGGCCCCAGTGGCTTCACTGGCAAATTTTACCAAACTTTTTTGAGAGAAGTAATATAATTCTACAAAAACCTTTCCAGAAAACATAAAAGGAGACAACAATTCTTGAATCATTTTGTGGTTCTGGCATTACCCTGATACGAAAATGTGATAAAGGTATTGCAAGAAAAGAAAACTATATATTAGTACACTCATGAACATAGATGCAAAAATTCTTAATGAAATTTTAGCAAACGAAATCCAAAAATATTTGAAAAGGATAATACAATATGACTGAGTGGGGTTTATCCTGGGTATATAAAGTTGGTTTAACATCAATCAATATAATTTACCATATTAATAAACAACAAAAAACCCCAACCATGCAATCACTCAAAAAAAAGGCAGAAAAAATATTTGACAGAATTCAATATTCATTTATAAAAAATTTCAGCAAACTAGAAATAAAAAGGAACTATCTTAACCTGCTAAAGAGCACCCTAAAGTTAAAACCATACTTAACTGTGAAAGACTTGACTGCTGTGCCCCTAAGACTGGGAATAAGGCAGGATGTCTGCTCTTAACCACGTTTATTTATTCAACATTTTACTGGAGGTCCTAGTTGTGCAATAAGACAAGAGATAAAAGGTGCACTAATTGGAAAAGAAGAAATAAACTTTTCACTGAAATACAATCACCTGTGTAAAAAATCCTAAGTAATCTAAAAAAAAGAGCTCCTAGAACTAATAAGTGCAGCATAATTGCAGGATACAAGGTCAATTTATAAAAACCAATCTTAGGTGCCTTGGTGGCTCAGTTGGTTAAGCATCTGCCTTCGCTCAGGTCATGATCTCAGGGTCCTGGGATCGAGCCCCGCATCAGGGTCCCTGCTCAGCGGGAGCCTGCTTCTCCCTCTCCTTCTGCCTGCTGCTCCCCCTGCTTGTGCTCTCTCTCTCTCTCTACCAAATAAATAAATAAAATCTTAAAAAAAATAAAAATAAAAACCAATCTTATTTAGGGGCTCCTGGGTGGCTGAGTTGGTGGAGCATCCAACACTTGATTTCAGTTCAGATCATAATCTCAGGGTTGTGAGATTGAGCCCTGTGTCATGCTCTACACTCAGTACGGAGTCTGCTTGAGATTCTGTCCCTCTGCCTCTCACCCCATTCTCTCTAAATCAATCAATCAATCAATCTTTAAAAAAACCAGACCAATGTTATTTCAATATACTACCAACAATCTATTTGAAATTGATAATTAAAAACAATTCTATGTATAATAGCATAAAGATATAAGGTACTTAGAATAAACTGAACAAAATATAATACCTGTACACTGGACACTAAGAAATACTAATAAGAGAAATTAAGGAAGATCTACATAAGGAAGGTCTACATAAGACAGACAGACACCATGTTCATGCATTAGTATTGTTAAAATGTCATTTCTTCCCAAATTGATTTATATATTCACAATCCCAATCAAAATCCCAGCAGACTTTTAAAAGCAATTGAAGAGCTGATCCTAAAATGTCCATGGAAATGCCAAAGGACATAGAATAGGCAGGGGCGGGGCGCCTGGGTGGCTCAGTCGTTAAGTGTCTGCCTTTGGCTCAGGTCACCATCCCAGGGTCCTGGGATTCCCCACTCCGTGGGAAGCCTGCTTCTCCCTCTCCCACTCCCCCTGCTTGTGTTCCCTCTCTCGCTGTGTTTCTCTCTGTAAAATAAATAAAATCTTAAAAAAAAAAAAATAGACAGGGGCTTGACCTTCCTTGTCCACTGTTGTAGTCTCAGTGCCCGGCTCATAGGAGGCTTACAGTAAATAGGTGTTGAATGAATGAATGGACCATGAGAGAATTAGAATAAAATTAAAGGAAATGGGCCAAAATATTGATAGTTTTTATTTCTGGGCAATGGGATAGTGACTGAATTTTTAAAAAAGTTTTCTCTATGTTCTCCAAGAGGCACATACTACATTTTGTATTTAAAAATTATACTTGATTATAAACCCACAGCTGGGGCTCCTAGGTGGCTCAGTCAGATAAGCATCCAACTCTTGATTTTAGCTCAGGTCGTGATCTCAGGATCGTGAAATCAAGGCCCACATCAGGGTCCACGCTGGGCATGAAGCCTGCTTGAGATTCTCTGTCTCCCTCTCCCTCTGCTCCTGTCCGCCCACCCCCTTCTCTAAATAAATAAAAAGAAAAACCCACAGCTAAGATTATATTCAATGGAGGAAAACTGAGAGCTTTTCCTCTAAGGTCAGGAATAAATAAGGATGTCTACTCTCACCACTTTTATTCAACGTGGTACTAGAAGTCCTAGCTGCAGCAATCAGACAAGAAAAAGACATTAAAAAAAAAAAGAAAAAGACATAAAATACATCTAAATTGG